CACCGGCCCCGGGCGGCCCCACAGCTCCAGCGGCCCTCGCTCTTCTGTGGGAGGTGTCGGGTAGGGGCAGCGCTAACACCCCAAAACGTGAGGAGTAACCCCCCGAGGCAGCGCAGGGGCGAAGCTGCACCTTCCAACGGGCTTCCCCCGCCGCAGGCCGGGCCTCCTCCCCGCCTGGGGCAGCCAGCGAAGGAGTCCTGCTCTCGGGAGCTGCGTAAGGAGGGCAAGGGGAGGTCCCGTACAACACACCCCCTCCAGCAGCTTTGCAGCAGCAGCCTGGTAAAACACAGATTTCCAGCATCAAGACACCATCAGATTTCCCTAAAAGCAAATATTGATTTGAAAGAGGCAAATTTGGTCTTAAAAAAGCCAGGCTTCTTGAGCCCAGCAGCTGCCTGCTCGTGGAAAATGGCTGATCTACAATAAAAATACATCAAAAAGCATCTCTGATATTTTTCAGCTGCCGGACAGCCAGGTCAACCGGGAGGTTGAATTTCAAGCTGCTCAGGCGACTGAGCACGTTGAGCGCACTCTCAAAGCCCGTGTTTGCCATGTAGCTCCACGGCTGGTAGTGGGACTGGACCAGAGCTCCAGATTTGCAGATCAGATTTACCCAGGAGACCAGGCGCTGCTCGTTGAGCGCCATACACACCAGAGCCTTCAGCTCCGAGTCCGCACTGCGCTTGAAGGGGTCATGCTCCGTGAGGACGGTGTGAATGGCCGTCAGCAGGCTCTGCTTGGGGGTGATGGCCACTCCTCCCATCACAGGCAAGGCAAAGGACTGGGAGAGCTTGCGAGCTGGGGATTCCACAAAGGCCTGTCCGTTCTTGGCATTGTAATACTTCACAAAGAGCTCCCAGGGGTGCATGGTCTGCGGGGATGAGGTGAACGCAGGAATCAAGCACGCGATGGGAGACAACACCAGGCTCATCCCTTGAGATGAGGCGTAGAGCCCGTGAGCCAGCAGGTCTCGCAGGGCGATGGTCAACTCCTTCCGCACAGCCAGAGTCAGCTCATCCCTGCCTCCCAAGGGAACGTCCTGCAGGCTGGAGGAGCTGATTACGTGGTCATCCTGCTGGTGTTTCAGAGCTAGCTGCCTCACTCGCTCCACTGACAACTCCAGTTTCTTAACTAAGGGGGAATAGTCCTTGTTGGCTTGGTCCTTCTGCCAGAGGGTGCGAGGAATCTGACCAGTAGCACAACCAAACTGGCTGACGGCAAATATCTGCAGCACAGCAAGCATGCGACGCATGAGGTGCAGGCCCGTTTCTCGCATCTTTCTCGCATCTTCTGGGTTCACTGATCAGGTTAGAAAAGAGAAAAAAATTGTCTCAGTAAGGAATCGACAGCTCTGCTCTTTCACACACACAAGGGGAGCACAAACGTCCGCTCTGGCCAGTATCTGTCTCTGACTATCGGCAGATGCCTCAGACGACAGAAGGTAAAGATTCTGCAGTATTTCCTCCTGTACACTATTCTAGCTCCAATAAATCCCATGACAAGTAGACACGTCTCACATAGTAGAGAACACCGGATCCATCCAGGTCACTGCACCTGCTCACAGAGCTCAGAACTCAAGGAGCATTAATTACAGTGCAGCCCAACAGCGTGCACAAGACAAGGCTGCTCAGCCTGTGTGTGTTCTGCACTAAGTGTCAAACCTCTCCTATTCCTGATCTCCGCTGAAGACCAGTCCCACCCCTGTGCCACGTGCTGAGGTTTTGTGACTCCTCTAACGATCCCATGGAGGACGGGTAAGGGACCTGGACACAGGCCTTCTGTCACTGGGAGCAGGAAAGAACAGAAACCAACTGCCAGGAAGAAAAGCAAAGCAGCCCAGTGTGACAGGATGCTGCTTCATGGTTGTCGACCCTCAAACGAGCCATGGCAGGAGCAGCGCCGGGAGCTCCGAGCCGAGCAGTGCCCACCTCTATTTCCAGAGGGCCGTGTGTTTGCTTTGTTGGAGCCACCGCCGTCTTTTCTGCCTGCACATTCACAGTGTCCATCTTCCGCCTTACCAGAGCTGCCAACTTCATCTAGAACAAGAATTTCACACTTGTGAACGTAAGCTGCGTATCCCAAGTACTAAGGTCAATATTCCTTAGACCTCTCTGCACCCTTTTTGTCGGTCTCTCCTTCTCCCCCCCAGTTCAGAGAGATCTGTACTTGCCTGCAACCCAGAGACCCTTTCTGCATCCCCTGATACCTGTGAACCCCCCTCCTCATGACTTCGCCAAGGAATGACAAAGCAGTTCAACCTGCCCATCTGAAAACCAGCACTGACCCTGAATGAAGTTGATGAACATTTCGAGGTCCCTTATCTGTGTCTTGAGTTGTTCCACCAGCTGCTCCTTCACCCTGGCTGGGTTAACGATCTGTGCGATGGCAGCATCCACACGCTGCCGCAATTCCTCTGGAGAGAGCGTTGCAATGTCTTCACTCAGGTCCATGTCCAGCTTCTTTATCAACTCATTTATGATCATCTGCAAAACACGAGGCAGCAGCGTGATCTCCCTGTGTGGCGCTGCTGCCCAGGAGCTTCACAACGCTCCTGTTCGCGTTCGTTACCCTGGGAACAGGCCACCTTTGCTGCACAGGGAAAACTGCAAGAGAAGGCACGGGGCAGGTTCACACACGCAGACAAACTGCTGATCCCTCCTGCAGCGGCTGGTGGGAAGTAAGGACTGACCAACACCTCCAGCCCATACGAGACTCACAAACACGAAGCAGAAACACTGGCAGAAGGACTCTGCGAGCCTTACAATGACCACAGACTGTGGCAGGGAGTCATAGCTGCCCTCCTGGTAAGCGAACGTCTCCAGGTCATCCAGCTGCGTCTTGAGCTGCAGGATCAGCTCTCTCTGCTTCTCCTTCTGGACCTCAACCTGCTCGTGCTTCTCTCGCTCACTCTGAGAAGAAGTTGCCAGTAAACAAAATAGAAGATTCACTGTCACAGCCGAGCCCCAGAGAACAGGATCGTGGCACCAGGAACGTTTCCTGCAGCTCGTGCACGTAACCAGCGGCCCCGTGCGCCAGCCTGGGACGAGCCACCCGTACGTCGGGGACAG